TGACAGCAGGTGGCGCTTATGGAACAGCAGTGATATAACGTTTCCTTGGTTACCGCTGGAAACAAAGCAGCTGTGCCTGCGTGTACAAACACCACTTTAATATGCATTATATGCAGGTAAGAGGAAAAGAAAATGTAATCGAAACATTTCTGAAGATGGTCAGTTCCTCTCAGAGGTACATTGAAGCTTGATCTGCCTGGTACAGTATTTTCTCCTTTATAGACTTCAATAAAAATTTCACACAAATTACATTTTGGGAAATGACTGCAATGCAGTTTTTGTGCAATTCTGCAATAGAGATCTGCCAAAATAAAACTAAAAACCGAAGTAAAGAATGCAAAAGAAGTGCTGCACGGGGTATAGGTTCCTTGTCTCGGTGCTCTTTGGGTGCAAGGGATAATTTAACTCGTAAGATTAATAATAGTCCAAGGCACTCGAATCTTATTCAAAAAGTTTTAAAAAGCCTTTATTTCATCATGGCTGTAAGTTTTAAAACAGGTGACAAGTGCACACCTACACGTTGCGGCTATTTTGCCTTCGTCAGGGTGTGAGTAACAAACACAATCTGAGTTCATTTTGAGCAGCAATTAATTAGTCTAATAACAATCACCTGGTCGTGCTACACAAGACAAACAGAAGAGAGGAAGTCCAACGATTACATAGCAAATTAAATCAAACACAGTATAATCATAGTGTAAAGGAAAAAAAAAATTACATCAACTTGAGTATATAATTCAAACTCCACAAATCAATGCATGTATACAATAATGTACATAGTATACATTTTATTTCTTGAACACTATTCAACAATGTCATAAATATCCCAAATAAATAATATACACTGTGTACCCAACACTAACCCAAGTACATTGAAGATAATCGGTATAGAACATGGCCCCAGGTCAATAAGAAGAGGTGATAGGGTTAATAAGCTTTTACAGAGAGTGTCTTTCTGGATCTATACACTGAAAGCAACCAAACTTCCAGGCTTAAATGGGGAATTACACTTTGTACCTTTTTTGTAATAAGATTTCAGATCTGAAAATATTTTGTTGATCTTGTTTTGAATGTTTTTTTTTTTTTGTTTTTTTTTAAATATAAATTACACAGTGTATATTATTTATTTGGGATATTTATGACATTGTTGAATAGTGTTCAAGAAATAAAATGCATACTATGTACATTACTGTATACATGCATTGATATGTGGAGTTTGGTTTATATACTTAAGTTGATGTAAAAAATGTTTCTTCTTTACACTATGATTATATTGTGTTTGATTTAATTTGCTATGTAATCGTTGAACTTCCTCTCATCTGTTTGTCTTGTGTAGCACGACCAGGTGATTGTTATTAGACTAATTAATTGCTGCTCAAAATGAACTCAGATTGTGTTTGTTACTCACACCCTGACGAAGGCAAAATAGCCGCAACGTGTAGGTGTGCACTTGTCACCTGTTTTAAAACTTACAGCCATGATGAAATAAAGGCTTTTTAAAACTTTTTGAATAAGATTCGAGTGCCTTGGACTATTATTAATCTTACGAGTTAAATTATCCCTTGCACCCAAAGAGCACCGAGACAAGGAACCTATACCCCGTGCAGCACTTCTTTTGCATTCTTTACTTCGGTTTTTAGTTTTATTTTGGCAGATCTCTATTGCAGAATTGCACAAAAACTGCATTGCAGTCATTTCCCAAAATGTAATTTGTGTGAAATTTTTATGAAGTCTGTAAAGAGGAGAAAATACTGTACCAGGCAGATCAAGCTTTAATGTACCTCTGAGAGGAACTGACCATCTTCAGAAATGTTTCGATGACATTTTCTTTTCCTCTTACCTGCATATAATGCATATTAAAGTGGTGTTTGTACGCGCAGGCGCAGCTGCTTTGTTTCCAGCGGTAACCAAGGAAACGTTATATCACTGCTGTTAAGATTCGAGTGCCTTGGACTATTAATAATCTTACGAGTTAAAACTAAAAACCGATTCTGATTTATAGCATCTCTAGAACCCGAAACTTTCCCACACTGCTGATTTAAAACAAGCTGGCAGTTCTTCGAGCCCTTGCGTGCCATCTGAGCTCACCGTTCTTGTTTTGGGTTGGTACGTTGATCGTCTCTTCTTCTGCTCTTTCCTGTTGTGACAGTTAGCGGTGCATTACCGTGCGCACCCTTCTGGATTGATCGCCTATGACTGACTGTATTCGTCGTCTGACTGCATGAAACGAACCGTGACGTCCGAACCGTGACGGTTCAAGACGAATACATGTACTGTTACACCCCTAGCATTCAGTTTAGACATATAAATTAGATGAAAACTTTCAGTGAAAATTGAAGGTCTTGGCAACTAACTGAAAATAATTCAACTAAAACAAATATTAAAAACCAACCCTGCTTGGCTAAACAGTGAACAACCTATAGTAACACCATATCTACAACAGACATGAGCAACACAACACTACAGGCCAAAACTAAACAAGGGTGTTTCCTGAATTGAAACATCTTAAATTGCAGGAGACTTTGCTCTCAATTCAATCTCATAGCTGTGTAGGAGAAACAATTAAGGGAAAAAAGTAAAAAAAAAAACGTTTTCTGTCTTATAGACCACTAAAATTAAATGAAATCTTGTAAGTAGATGCTTTCAATCTAAAGTTAAGAGTTTTACTAGACTAGAGATTCACAAGCAGATTACAGCATTGCTTGTCTGCCATTTACATAATTTACTGTAGCTCCACTATGCTCTGAAACTTCCATTTCTCACTAAAGGGCAAAAGGGATGCACTGGACACATTTGCAGGGGAGACACGTGTCTGTATTTTTTCTTCTGGATGGGCCAGGTGTTGCATTCAGATTCCCCTTGAACGTTGTCCTTTGTCATGCCCTATGTTTTCCTTTTTTTTTTTACGAATTCATTTTGATGAAATGATGGCCGATGCCAAAGTGTCAGGCAGGTGCATCTGGGGTTGATGTCATAAACAGTAGAGGGTGGAGTCTGGCTCCTCCCTTCAAATGTGTCCGTCCTTTCACTGCAATATAGGGTTAATCCAACTCAAATTAGTCTTCCCAGAGGTACAGTTCATTACCCTTGTGGGTCGCCTCATAGAAAATCAAGACGGAGAATCCATAACAGCATGTGGAATAACCCCCCGTCCTCTATCCGGCTTGTGTGTGCGTGTCTGTTCCTTTGCACGGTTCTCCGAAGAAGGGTTCGCATGAACGCAAAAGCCACCAGAGTAAATGTGAAGTACTCAGGAGGACAGATCAGCTTTTGGAGTGAAAGAGTGAGAGAAAGAGAACGAGGGGGGACTGATTGTACTTTACACAGATAACACACATTACATCTTCTCCATTTGCCCCGGGAACCCATCTAACAGTGAACGGGAGAGAGAGAGATGGATGAAAAAGAGCGAAGTATAGGCCTCAGAAAGGACTGCGAATGCTGGTGATTCACTTGAGTGGAGTTGCGTGAGGAGGTGGTGCGGGGTAGGCTGGAGGTTTGGGGGGTTGGGAAGGTGGGAAGATGCTAGACAGGAAAAGCACATTGTCAGATATGATCAGCTCGGTTGGGCCCGGAGCCAGAGACATCTCCAGAACCTGCGTCAGAGATCTCAGAGCACAGACTCATCCTCATCACCCTTCCGATCACCTGAAAAAATCTCCAATTTCTCCATGACTAAAATAACCTGTCAGTTTTGTTTGAGCCTTTCAGGTTTTGTCTGTGTGATGAATGGGAATTTATTAAGAGGGCTGCGGGATGTGGGATTGTTTGATGCCTGTCTGTTAGCCAGATGCGGTAGTTGCGCTAGTAAGCGAGCATCTATGAACTTCAGACAGGTTTCAGGAGGGAAAAGCCATATGTCTTCATTTCAAGGCTTTCTCGAGGTTGTCATCAGTCATTAGGACATGTGGCCTCTCTCGCTTCTCAACTCCCTACTATTCAAACAAGAAACAGTCATTTGTTTTAGACTCACCATCTGTATGATTCGCTTTCCCTTTAGCCTTGTCGATAATCACGTCAGGCTGACATTTATTTCATTTTCATATTTGTCTTTGAACACCCTGCATCAAAGAAAACCAGCGCACGGTGCACATCTGAAACAAATGGCTTTGAAATTGGCCCAAACGGATGTCAAAGAACAACAGAATGACCCCATCATCGCAGGTTCAGATCTGCGCAAATGCACATCTGGAGGAAAACAGCTGTTTTACTACAGACGAGACATACTTCAATGGAGCAACGTGATGCTGTTTTTCAGCGGTGTATAAAAAGCCTTCTGCTTGTGTTCTTGTGTCTAGACAGCAGAATAAACCAAACTATTGAGTCTCAGGAAAATTGCTCTGAAAGCTTTGGTAAAAAGACAGTTGCTAAAGATAATTGCTAGTACAGAAAGAATGCAGAAGTGAGGGTTCTGTTTGTATGGAAATGTAAGTGATGCAACGCTGTTCTTTGTTTGTTCTTTTCATGCGCGTAAAAAATCTGGAATAAAAGGATGCAGGTCACTGAAGATTATATGGACAGATGACAAAAATCAACAATTTTCCGGGGCTCTGAAAAAAATCTACTGATCCTTCCTCAATTGTTATTATATACATCCCTATTATAACGCTTTCGTAGCTATTATATATAGTGTCATATTAAGGCTCATATGACACTGAATACTGGAGTAATGGCTGATGAAAATTCAGATTTGCCATCAAAGGAATAAATGACATTTTAAAACATTAAAAATAGAATACAGTGCTTTTAAATTGTAATAATATTTCACAACATTACAGATTTACAGTATTTTTTATGAAAAAAGAAGCCTTGGTGAGCATAATAAACTTTCAAAAACAATTAAAAAAAAAACTTACCAACCCCAAACTTTTGAACAGTTATGTGCATTAAAATTTATCCAAATGAGGAAATAAATGCTCTGTAATAACAAGAAGATGAGACGGGTTGGGCGTGGCTTATTAATGCAATTAGGTCTTCAGTGGGTGTGGTTATTGAGCTCCCACCTCAATCTGCAGCAGTGCTTCTTCTCTCTGCCTCAGGATCTCCACGTCTTCTTCACTGATCTCTGACAGGATTGCTTGTCCATCACCCTCAATGCCCTCCCCCGCTCCGAACAACGGCCCCTCTTCAACCAGTTCACTGAATGGAGTCTGTAGGCTCTATCCACACACAAACACAAACACACACACACAAAGAGAGATACCATTTCTTAAAATATTTAAGAGTACATACAATTCTCAGATTCAGCACTAGATGAGCTCATTGTTTTAGCGCATGATATGTGTATATATATATATATATATATATATATATATATATATATATACACACAGCCAACTCACCTCTGTCCCACGACAGATTTCCGGCATCCCTCCTCCACCCCAACGCCTCACTCTTAAACTATTCTCATCCCATACTAGAAGTGGGGGGAGTTCTCTGGGTTCGGGCTATATTCTGAGCTCGGAGCCCTCCTTCAAGACAGCACACCAAATATGCTTATAGTGCTGTCAAATGATTAATAAAATTTTATATATACATAATAAATATACACAGTACACGTATTTTGGATGTGATTAATCACGATTAATCGTTTGACACATATATATATATATATATATACACACACACATACACACACACACACACAGACACACACTCACTTTCAATTAGAATTCCAACTTCTACTACAATTTCTACAATAAAGCAGCTCTCCAGTGTGTTCATGTTTTCATTCGCAGATGTCTGACCTCCACAGACTAAACAGAGCAAATTTACACTCAAATTTCCACGTTAAAGAAGGCAGAGCCCCTGAGCACTATAACGTAATTGCCACGAACCAATGGTAGTTGGAAGATGTTTACCAGCCGGAGCCAACTTTTCTGGAAAGTTTGCTTTGGCAAGCTGTTTCAAACAAACGTAATTTTGTCCTGATTTCATTCAAAATTACATGTTCTTCGGTTCCGCTTGAAGTATATCGGGGCCTTAAGGTCAGTCGACCTTTTAAGTTTATCTCTGGACAGCTACTTCATTAAAAATGATTTCTTGCAGTTATTCTAACATTAATTTTAAAGTGTACCATAGTAGTATTTAATCAAAGGATGACTCTATACTCATGCCCTGAATACTCACTGACCCCAAATCCGCCTCTTCTCAGACTGTCAGAGGATCAGAGCATTGCGGATTTTTACAGACGTGGACCTGACTTTGGTGAAACTTCTATATGTGACCCTGAACCACAAAAACAGTCATAAGGGTCAATTTTTTTTTAAATTTAGATTTATATATCTTCTGAAAGCTGAATAAATAAGATTTCCATTGATGTATGGTGTGTTATGATAGGACAATATTTGGCCGAGATACAACTATTTGAAAATCTGGAATCTGAGGGTGCAAAAAAAATCTAAATACTGAGAAAATCGCCTTGAAAGTTGTCCAAATTAAGTTCTTAGCAATGCATATTACTAAACAAAAATTACGTTTTTATATATTTATGGTAAGAAATTTACAAAATATCTTCATGGAACATGATCTTTACTTAATATCCTAATGATTTTTGTCATAAAAGAAAAATCGATCATTTTGACCCATACAATGTTTTTTTGGCTATTGCTACAAATATACCCCAGCGACTTAAGACTGGTTTTGTCGTCCAGGGTCACATATTAGAAGTGACACAACTTTCCTTGAGATCCATTTGTAGGCATCTTATATAATAGCAAAGCACTGACATTTCACGGCTGTGGAGAATATAATACAATGATAATGACTCGCCACCTCATACTGCAGCAAAAGAATCACAAAGGAAGCGCCTGCCGCCTTTGTTAGTCATTTAGGTTGAACTCTCTGTCAGCCTGAAGGTTGAAGAGGTGGGAGTTGGTCACTTAGAGAGAGCCACATTGATCTGCTAATTTCTCAACTTGCATATGCATGACATCGATAAAGGCCCGAGGCGTGCGATTATTTTTTGTAATGTGTTGGATGACTCACTGTATTCTTCCCTCTCAGAATTAACACATCCAATACATCTCGGTCCAGCACAATGCCAATCTGAGAACATCATCTTCTTTGCTCGGTTGATGTAGTCCCACTCACTGAGGATATCATTGTATTAGGTCAAGAATCTAATACATTAGAGTGGCTTGTAGATGGAGTTTTTTCTCGTCTACTGACAAGATGTACAACATAAATTATCCTTTAATCTGCATTCGTATCTCGGATACATAATTTGCCCTGAAATTAAGTCTAAAATAGATTATATTCTAAATATAACTGAATTTTAATGAACTTTACCTCATTCAAAAATAAGCCCATTACCATTATATTCCTTCAAAAATGTAATTGGGCTTATTTAAACCTTATTTCAAATTTAGAATATATACAGTACAATAAAATTTGCTTTAAATTCCCTCAAAATTCATACGTGATTCCCTATGAGAGAGAGGGTGGTCTCCTATAAAGTCAACGGATCCACATCACATTAAGTCATAGGATCAGCATGACTCATTCAAGACAGGATATTCCCAGTTTAAGACGTTTATGTCTCAGTAATCTAAATTCTCTGGAGGATAAGTTCTATTATGTAATGTACCTCTGATTTGAAGACTTTCACACATATCGCAGTAATTTTAATACATTTTTGCAGGTTGTTCAAATAGAAGTCAGCGGTCTTTGAGTGTTTGACGCTGAGCAATGGTTTAATTATAGCAAAGAGCAAGTTATTTACATCAGTGGAGCCATTTTTTCCACCAGTCAATCCAAAAACAGAGCATCCTGAACCCATCTTGTTTCTCTTCTCTTGAAATGATAGGTCTCAAGATATTTCTAAAATTTTTTTTTCTTTTGTCAGAAGAGCAAAAGGTTAAACAAGTGAGAAAGACAATTACTTTTCTTCTCTAATTGTTAGCGTATGGTTTGCTGCTGTAGAAGTGGGAACTCTCACATTAACACATTCAGATTTAAATTAGCACAATTAGCATTAAACACTTTTCTATTATTTTTGTATGTTGACCCATATTGTGGGATGCAATGAAAGTGTGGAAATGGAAACAGCAAGAGTTTGCACCCAAACTTAAATGAATAACTCTGAACAAATTGATGCAAAATAATTCCTTTAACACATACATTTATTTTGTCTGTAGCCTGTTTTGTATTAGTACTCAACAAGCTATGGAACCATGACATAAAGTTTAAGATATAAAGAGTTAAAATTGCTAGATAAAATAACTACAAAAAAAGGAAATGAAAAGAAATTAAAGAAAGAAATATAATAACAATATAACAAGTAAATTCATAATTATTAATTACTTATTTATAGAAACAGCTCCCATAACATTCATCGCATTGTTATTCTTTTTATTCAACACAATGGGAAGTGAGCCTACCTATAAAAAAATTACACTTGATGTTGAGAAATCCATTTAAACATATGTATTATCAAGAGTACTTTAATGAAAGCCTATACCACTGTGATTTTCTGTTCATAATAGTGAGTCACGTTCATGAATCATATTATAGATTAGCAGCGCTGACAACAAACCCTGTTCTCTTCTTAACTCAAGCGAAAAAAAAGACTCCGGCAGAACCTGGCGATCAAACAACTCCTTAATAACGTCTTACTCTTGACTAACAACTCAGCATGTTGTTTGTTTTGGATGTGTTCTTGGCGTTCATATTGGAACTACACATCATGTTTGATTGCTCTGGTCGGGTGTTTCCAGGGGGGATTGTAGAAGGAGACAGAAGATCAGAGACATTGCCGCAGGTGACAGAATCTCACATAAAAGCAGCATCTCTAGAGAGTGACAGGAAGGATGGGAATAGAATAAGAGAGGATTTTAACAGACCTCAGACTGTAAGACAGAAGCGTGTATGTGCTATAGTTACATACAGCTGAGCCAATCTGAGCTGCTGATGTGCTGCAGGTAATATTGAACACAATTCCTATCATTCAGTCAACACTTTCAATCATCAGTACATCCTTGAGCCAACTCAGATGAACTGAAAATTGAAGTTTGATGGAATCTGAAAAAAATAAATGTGTGGTGATGGAGATGTCAGTTTCAGTGCATTTCATCAAATGAAACTCCTCCAATGAGCATGAACATCACTAGGACTGTAATCTGTGGTCATTCTCAAGACATCTTGTTCCCTTTCAGTCAGTCACGTTACGTCAGTCGTGACTGACGAATTGGGATATCGCTTCGATAGACCAATCACCTTCGAGTGTTAACTAAACAAGCCAATGACAGTTGGCGTGCGTGTTGTCATTCTGGGGTCCCGCCGCGACCTCCCCTGGGCGCTTCAGCGCTCTCTCTGAAAGAGTGTTTTTTCCTCCTAAAAGAGCTCCACGAGCGACCGGCGTCTTTTTAAAGATGGCTTCCCACTCGTGCGTTTCTGGATGTGGTCGCTTCCTGGCTTTATCTGATGGTCATGATCACTGTGTCTCGTGCCTTGGCTTACAGCACGCTGAAGCAGCGCTCATGGATGAGTCATGTTCTCAGTGCGGGAACACTTCTCAGCGCGTCTCTCAGTAGAGCGTGCGCAGTCGATGCTGAACGGCCTGGGGTCCTTCCAAGGCAAGACGGCGGTTCCACTGAAACAATTTCAGAGGCTTCTGGAGCATATGGCATCCGCAGCCACTGTCACGCCGCTCGGGTTGCTTCATCTATTATTAGGAAATAAATTATTCCATAAATCATGGAAAATCTTGTCAATGGTGGAGAAAGAGTTATGGTTAAGGTTACGGTTAGGGTTAATTAATATAAACTTATGTTTTTTTAAATTTTATTTTATGGCTGAACATCCCGAATTTCCTATCACTTTCATGTATCTGATCTTGTGGATCTATATTCCTTCCAGCCCTGATCTTTGACCACCTTCTGACTGCCAGGGCTGTACATTCGGTACCACAAGCCTAGTGGTTCCAAACAAACTTCATAAGAGGACTGAGGTTTGTAAGTGTCATGAAGTTCTGACTGTCAATATCTGACCTGCTAGAAAATGAAGTGGTAAGAAAAGAGGGGCAATCAAAGAGCTCCTCATCCACACGCAATCACACACACACAGTCACACTCTTTATCTTACTGTCACAGAGATGTCGAAGAGCTCATGAAAGAACAAAGAGGAAGAAGTGGACTCTCTCTGGACTAGATATTGAAGCCCACTCACCTGTTTCCTGTCCTTTTGTGCAGGAGGAAGCAAGGCCCTCGAACGATCTGCAATTTTCTGTCAGAGAGGAGAAAAAAATTACATTAATATGCAAATACACCCAGACATGTGACAGCAGCTGAGCTAAGAAGTTCAGTGGATTATTTTTTCACTGGTTTACATTATTACTGAATGAATGGGCTGCACAGATACAGTAGAGGAGGCTGGAGACTATTTTAAAACTAAATTTCTTCGAACACAAACACAGTGTTGACACTTGTTCAGCACATGCTCAATAGAGTTATTTCTCTGCCTGGGAAAAATGTGCAATTGCTTCACTTTGTGAGAAACAACTAGTTAGAAACCATATTATAAAGAAAAACAAATAAATACATCAAAAAATAAAAACAACTTAATATAGATCCAAATTAGTCTTTTGCTTTATTTTTATGTATACTGTAAAAAAAATATTTTTCAAAGTTTTTCAGTGGGTTACTTGCCGTTTCTTTGTAATTGTTTGTGAAATTTACTAGCATATTTTGAGTGAAAATTCTACAACACATTTACTTTTTCTTTACAGGTAAAAGAGAAAAATATTCAGTAATATTAATTTACATTATTTTAATAGCTTGATGTGTGCTCTCATTTCAGAAATTAATACAAAATATTTTCAAATGTCACAATTGTGACAATGTGAGTAACTTGTATTAAATTTGATATTATGATTTAAGTCTATAAATTATATAGTTACATTTGGCACATATCAATTTGTCTCATACCTCATTATATATTTCTCACATAATGAAAAAAAAATTTAAAAAATGGTACAATTTCTCCCCAAATTTTCAAGATTGACAGCTGCTGCAGAAACTCTTACTGTCCTAACCACATGTGTTATTTTGTGGACAAATAAAGGAAAGCCAGTGTTTCATGTGTACCTTCTGCAGGTCTCCATATCGCTGCACAGAGTCCGATAGCTCTGTTTTGAGTCTCGTCAGACGGAGCCTGTCTTGCTGCGAGGAAACAAAAGAGCATGATTTTAAAATGAACGCTGGTTCAGTTAAACATCACAACGTGATCTCATGATAATTCGTATGTATTTTACGTAAAATGTGGTTCTATAAAACGCACCATAACTTTACGGTGACATTTTATTTTTGCGAGTACAAATGCCAGTGGAATGCTTCATGATAAACCAACATCACTGACTATACTTATATAAGGGCGATTGTTCCAGAAACAAAAGAAAAATGAGAGATTTAGAAAAGATTTATTTTACCCGTGAAGACCCGCTGATGATGTCAGTGAGTTGTTTAACAAGTTGGCTTGTGCTTGTTATGGCTTTATTGGTTTGCTGCTGTATGGAATGTCTGAAACAGAGGGAGAAGAGCGAGAGGGGTGAAAAGACAGGTAATCATGCTTTACAAACCACAGAAGATGATTCAAAACGATTCACCAACTATCTCCAGAGTGCAATGCTCTCCAAGCTGGGCTAGGTTTACAGCCCTATTGGATGGATTAGGCTCAACCAATTAAGTAAATCAATATTAATGACTGCGACAGAGGAACAACATTGTGCAGTGAGTGACTGTGTGTCATGGCTGCAGAGCTCACATGATGTCAGGAAGGCTTTAGGCTCCAGGCAGGAGTCAATCTGCCGCCCCGGAGGAGAAGCAAAGGATTAGACATTGTTGTGTACAGAGACAGCAAATCAAATGGAGGAAAGGTAGCACAGTACAATTAGAGGTTTGCTGTACTGATTGTATTAATAGAGCAGATGAAATCAAGATTGCATAAATTGGGCTTATAGGGAGCAATGTTTATGACTGCACAAATAAAGGAGAAGAAAGGGAAGCAGAAGACTATGTGAAGGACAGAACCAATCCACAGGGCTGTCTAGCATTTGCCCAAGGCCCCAGACCAACATGGGGCCCTGAAGGGTTACAGAAACGGTTCATATTTACTAGACTTCACGACTGTGAGAAATTCATATTTTAATTGAGAACCAATTCCAAGACTTTGAACTGAATTTGAATTGGCATAGCAAACAGGATGCAGAACTGCTGTTAAAATTTGAATGGAAGTAGACTTGACATGAAACGAAATTCAAACTAATTCATAACTAGATGAGCAAAGTTATTCAAATTTCGAATGGTGGCTTGACAAAAAGTTTTATAGTTTAAAAAGCTTTGAAGTTTTAAGGTATATAGGCTAGACCAACAGACTTCCCAGAATGCATTACCTTGAATTTCTTTGAATTGACAAACAATTCCTCTTCCTGTCATTGTAATCCAAAATCAAATTTTACAGGCAATTTGATTCAAATTCACATTCATGAATCGAAAGGAAGGCAAATCTTTCATTGCGAAATTTGCCCATCCCTGCTAGTTTTGTACCTTATGTTTAAAATATGTACTGTTTTATGCCACATAACAGAAATGTCAAGTTTAGGTGCTTTGGCAAGTTAAAAACATTTGACATGTCGCACATTGAATCAATGTCTATTTTAAACCATTGACCCATCAAAGCAATCTAGGGTTAGGATAAATGCTGTATGGGATTTCATGCACCCATAAAGGCACCTTTGGTTCACTTCTATTCCTCCGTCTAGCCGTTTTTAATGCTAGAATGCTTTCTTTGTGAAGGGCCCCTGAGACATCCATGCCCTGGGTACGTCAATGTCATAATCCATCTCTGGAATCAGGGTGAAAAAAGAGGAAACATGGCCTGAAAAAGGCTGGAAAGAAGGCAAAAATTAAGAGAATTAAAGATGTCGAAAACTTGAGCTTGGCTATTTGCAGTTCTGAGCTGGATGGAAGATAGAAGGGAAAAAGGGGCCAACGGGTCAGAAGCTCGTGAACAAATTTAATCTCCTGATAGTAATTCCGTTTTCTCCTCATGCGGACCAAGGGGTTTGGATAAGACCATTGATTTAGTGTCTGTGCCCTGCTCCGTCTGATCCCTTCCTTTAAAACCAAAACCAAGACCACCAGCCAGAGTGCCTCCTGCTCCCCAGAGATATGTGGTGGTGAACGTGGGGCCCACCTCCCACTCAAATATTGATTTAAAAAGCGAGGATAGAAAAGAGGAGAGAGGCGTCAGGCAGAAACATCTCTAGTGCATTCGTTATAGGTGGGGGCATGTCACTGTCGTTCTCAGTCCACGAGAGAGAAACGAGACCAGTCGAGCGGAAAAGCACCTGTAACAATAGAGGCAGCAGCAGTCGTGCTGTGTGAACAAAAAAGGCAAAGGTCCACAGTGCACGTTCTAATTACACGCCAGAGAATAGGCGAACGTGGCTGAGCAGTTCAACTATAAAGCTTGACTTTGGACTTTTTTTAACGTGATCAGTCTGTTTCAAGGCTGAACATGAGCAATGACTCACTCCTCTACAGTTCTGCATGCATGGACTTAATATTCCTGGCTGAGATTTTTGGAGAGACCATAGCTTCTCCTGCCTGGAAGTGTATTACAATGATGGTTAAAATGTAAAAACTTCTTTTTTTTTTTCTCCCCTCCAGTACTTTTCATTTGAGAAGCCCTCCTGGCATTGCTAAATAGGTTGGCATTGGGTTTTAGGGCACGGTTGATAGTGCCTTGTTGCGTCATTCCCAGGAGTGGTGAATTAATAGCTGATATATCCGTCGCTGACAGGTCATCACTTCTCTATAAACTCGGCGGACAGTCTGAGTATTAAAATAATAGTTCACTCAAAAATGAAAATTCATATTCACCCCTCATATCATTCCAAACATGTAAAACTGAAGTTCTTATGAGGATCACAAAAGAGGAAATTCTTAATCCGACACAGGGTTATATTTTGCATACAATTACAATGAATTAGAAGCATAAAAGCATAATATGAAAATGTTGTCAGACAGACCAATTTTTATTTTTTTTCACTGATCATCTTTACATAAAGTGAACTGTTAAACCAGATCAACTTCATGGGGAAAAAGCCATGAAAACAGTGATTTCATACAGGTCTGGAACAACATGGTGAGTCAGCAATGACAGATATTGTGAATTATATCTTTAAGAAGGCGACAGTTTGAAAATCACAGGGATCACATGCACCAACACAACACTGTCTGAGGCACAACAGGTCAGCGTGGCATCATTTGCATATGTGTTATGCCATTGCCAATGTCACATTAGCGGCAGTTAACCTGGTGCCCGAGATAACAGAACATAAATGTCCTCAGTGAAATGCAGTTGACTGACAGAACTGGAGAATATTCAACAAAGAAACAGGCAGAAAAGACTAGGGACAAATAAAAAAGACCAGAAGGACAAGGCCAGACCACAGAAGACTTTCTTTGCTCTATTTAAAACCAATTGGAGGACAGAAGAAAGTCCCATGAAGACAAAAATTTTTTTTAAAACGGAAATAAACCTGTGGTGAGAGACATTTTTGCTGTCTGTGATAAAATAAAAATGTAACTGCTATAAATCGTTTTATATCTCAACAATAATGCCTTGGATTAGTCATGGCAGTTGTACAAATAAAGCCCTTTGAAACGTCCATGATTCAACCTCATTATATTGCACAGTGTGATCCACTGAACACCTTCAATATGCCCTCAATTACAGCTTCCTGTGTTCCCGCAACGGTAACACGTGAAACTCAATATGCCCTACACAATCTCAAGGGTCACCACGTAGCGGTGGAAAAGTTTGGTTATTACTCATCCCACATATTCAAAACCCAGCAGTTTATTTCCCCAAACGCTGTTTAGTCATAGTCCGCATTTAGCATGTTTTGTGTCTGTCGAGTCGGCGGAGGAGAATCTGAATCCTCCTCTGCTTTGACTGGCTATGGCCATCTTCAACCTGAAGCCCTGGAGAACTGAACAGAGACTGAGTCACTGCTACAGCTGAGGTGGGTTGCTACTGGAGATCATCAAATGAATCTACGAGAAGATAGAAAATGAGGAGGCCAAGGCCAAACAAGCACGAAACAGATAGTAATGACACCATCAGAAGCTTTCAGATGGAAAACTGTCAGATGTTCACTTACCCTCTAAAAAAAATAAAAGGTTCAAAGAAGGGGTTTTCACAGCAATGCCATAGAAGAACCATTTTTCAGGTTCTCCAAAGAACGTTTTGGTGAACAGTTCTTAAAAAAGTATTTTTTTTTTTTTTATGTGAAGGACATATTAATAATCTAAAGAACTATAAAGAACCTTTTGTGGAATTGAAAGACTCCATGAATGTTCTTAATTGAAGCATTGATGCCAATAAAGTAATAATAAACATGTTGGTATAGGTGGTTTACACATAAGCTAAACATTAATTTAATAATTAATTCAAAACTAAGGTATGTAAGGTGTAAGGTGTATACACAAAAAAAATAAAAACAAAACAAAACTTGACATACAAAAATCCTACCGTGAGAAAAGTCACTGGAGTAAAAAGTGCGACAACTTGCCCCAGTCTCCCCCTCTGCGCAGTTCTGCAATACCTCACACAACTTGACAGACAAAAGTATAAAACTTTGTAATTCAGTGCTGCCTTGCATAACCTGAACAATACAAATCGAATTTCAAATCCTGACTGGTTACCTGGAGGTCAGAATATAACACAAAGATACTTGTGAAAGTGACTCAAAAGCTATTACTTCTCTCCCTCAGATGTGTGATGTACTGAGGTCATGCTGTGTGAAGTCTATAGGGTATTTACTTTTGTGAGATTTTATTTCGTTTTAGACAGCTGTGTAAGGAACACAAGGTTTTTCTTTCGTAAGGCGTTTCATTGCATTTCTCACATCACTTCCTCCCTGTACTGCTCAGCTTGTTTCTCAGCTATACAGTATTTACGGCCTGGTTTTATAGTCTTATTTCTATAAAAGCTTCTTATTATTTGACAATTTCTAAACAAAATTTTGCAAGGCTATATATATATATATATATATATATATATATATATATATATGTTTGCTACTATTTATTTATCTATATATCTAGTTATTTATTGATCTATTGATGTTTTTCCAAAATCCAAAACAATCAATAAAAATAATTCAAAACAAATAGGGTATGTAATGGGTAAATAATGTTTAATGAATCTGTTTAATTTGTATATTTACCATTTATGCAGCCAATATATTATAATTTTTTATATTATATATTATTACAACTTTTACATTTAAGCATTTGACTATTTATATATACACACACACACACACACACACACACACTGTATATATTGTTTAAAAGAGAATGTTGCTGCTCATGCACGTTACTGCACTTCATTATATTGGGCACTGTTAACGCTGCAGTGAAAAATTATGAGACCACATTTATGACTACTCTGTTAGTAAAAAGGTCAGTCCAGGTCTTATAGCCCAAGATCAAGATCAAGAGAACCA